TCAGAACATACCTGTTGAAGTCTTGAAGTCTTGAAGTTGAAGTTGAAGAAGAAGAACAACCCTAGTTGATGCTTTGTGATTCTTTCAGAAATCAGAAGTAGATGAAGAAGAAGAAGTCGCTACTGTTGAAGAAGTCCGACCAGTGTTTAATCCAAAAAACTCGTTTTTAATAAAATAGGGTTGGGTATTTTAAAACAGAGAAGCGGACGCTTCTTCGCTTCGCTTCACTTTCCCCGCTTCTCGCTTTTTACAGAAAAGCGGTCGCTTTTACTGACCTTAGTCGCTTCAACTTGTTGAAGCGCTGCCCTTCACGCTTCGCCTCGCTTCTCGCTTAAAGCGAGGAAGCGGGCGCTTTTTTAAACACTGATGTAAGGTGGGCTCCCTTCCAACTACTCACCTGGGTCTCCCATTGGGCGCTTCGCATAAAGATACTACGGTTTGGAATCCAGTAATCGAAAGGGTTGAAAAAATATTAGTAGGCAGGCAGAAACAGTATTTGTCAAAAGGCGATAAGGAAGTGCTTATTAAAAACACTTTATCGAGTATGCCCAGCTATTACTTGTCCCTGTTGCAAGCTCCGGTGAGCATCACAGAAAAACTGGAGCGGCTTCAAAGGAATTTTCTTTGGGATGCGGCGGATGGAACTAAAAAGTCTCATCTAGTGAATTGGCAGACAGTCACTTCCCCAAAGAAGTGGGGTGGACTTGGAGTAAAAGATCTTAGGGTATTCAACAGAGCTTTATTGGGGAAGTGGCTGTGGAGCTTCGAGGTAGAAGAGCATACTCTATGGAGGGAGGTCATAGTAGAAAAGTACGATTCCACGGGAGGGGGTTGGAGGACAAAGGCAATCACAACACCTTTCGGGGGTGGCATGTGGAGGAGCATCATGAAGAATTGGGAAGCATTCAGTGGCAACATCACTTACAGGGTGGGAGATGGAAGGAGAATCAGCTTTTGGAATCATAGGTGGTGTGGAGAGGATACTCTGAGGGTCTCCTTCCCCCACGTCTTCAGAGTTTCAAACCAGAAGGAACTGATGGTCCAACATATTCGTAAGGAGCATGAAGGGGGGTATGAGACCTCTCATTTAGAAGGAACATGCAAGATTGGGAGATTGCGGAGCTCCAAGATTTGTTGACACTGATATATGGGCAAGACAGGCCCCAGCCATCTTGTGATTCTTGGAGAAGGGGTTTGCGTGGCGATGGTTTGTTCACCGTAAAGTCCTTTTACCGGAGTATGTTGGTGAGAGAGGAGGCCACTTTTCCATACTCCTCGATATGGATTTCTAGGGCGCCCACGAAGGTGTGCTTTTTTGCATGGCTAGCAGCGAGAGGAGTGATCTTAACTGCTGAAAATCTTCGAAAGAGAGGAATTACACTTGTTAGTTGGTGCTACATATGTAAAAGTTCAGGGGAAGAAGTTGATCATCTTTTGTTGCATTGCCCTGTGTCCTCGGCTTTGTGGAGGGCAATCCTGAATCTTTTTGGTGTTCAATGGGTGACGCCAAGCACTGTAAAGGAAATGTTATATAGCTGGGCCGGTTTTCGTAGAAGGAGAAAGCAAAAGGCGTGGAAGTTCACCCCGTTAGCTCTCATGTGGATAGTTTGGGGGGAGAGAAATAGAAGAGCTTTTGAGGGGATTGAGTCTCCTTTTTCACATCTTAAGAATAGTCTTTTATCTTTGATCGCTTTTTGGTGCACTCATTTAGCCCTACTTGTATAGAAGATTGGGCGTCTTTTGTAGAGAATCATGTTCTGATGTAAATTCTCTACTTTTTGGTATACTTCATGTATACGGGAGTTCTCTCCCTTTTGATTAATACAATTTACCTTATCAAAAAAAAAAGTTACTAAGGCTAAGATGGGCTAAAAATTGGGTCATAGCCCAACATGCCCAACCCTTATCAAGCTTTACTTAATATGTGTTATTTTCTTTGTGTGACTGTAAATTAATTCATTAAGGGTAAAGTAGAAATTTTAAAGATAAATTGTTTCTAAATAAAAAAAGATGACATTTTTTTATACAGATTAAAAAAGAAAGAGTCTCACCTAAAATGGGACGGTGAGAGTAACAAACTTTGGTCATAAAATTTAACGGGAACTATGAAGATTTAAGGGGAACTCATAGTTGGAAGTGCAATTTTAGAGTTTCTGCTATTTTGGTCTGTTTCTTGTGGCTAGTGTTGTATTTTGCGGTGTAATTTCTACTATGTTGTCCTATTTCTGATGGCAGTCTTTAGTATTGCAGTTTTTTAAATTTGCTAGCACTTACCAAGTATTTTTGCTTAATCAAAGTTGCGCTAAATCTAACGAATTTCTTAAATATTTAGACAGAGACCAAATATGCTCAATTTTGGCAAACCTAAAGCAGCAAAACTATTCAGGAATATAAGCTTATAACCACTTCACAACTTTTCACCTCATGAATTAGCTTTTGCGATCAAAGTCAGTCGAGTTTGTAATGAAGTAGTTCACAACCTTCACTGAATAAATTTTTGGATTTGAAGTTAGGTGGATATGTGATACTTAGTTAGGTGGAGAGATCGAAATTAAAGAGGAATAAATTTTTGGATTTAAAGTTAGGTGGTGAGAATGCTGAAAACTAGGAGTGTGAATACAAAGAAACAGTAGGAAAAAATAAAGATAAAGAATGATAGATTGATAACAACGTAACATTGACACCAATGTATCTGCTCACTCTCTCTGCCAAAAAGTCAAAGTAGAAATAGTACTATTAAGACTTACAAAATTAAAAGTCGCAATTCAAAATAACTATGTACCAGTTTTTTAAACACTTCTTGTCTTATTTGCAGTCTTCTGTATCACTATGTAGCAATTTTTACTGTCTTAGTAAATTAGTTTGTCATGTATTATTAAACATTGGTTGTAATTCTCTTTGAGAATTATTGTGTACCAAGTCATTTAATTTGAGTACATCGTATATAAGTGCATGTCAAATTTGTTACGCTATTTATAGTTCATCTTCATCCTTCCACACATCTTTAGGATAACATGAGTAAAGCAGTACTATGAATCTCTACGAGAATACTAATAATGGAAGTTATACTATAAGCATTATTCTGCTTTAAATTTGACGAAAGCATGTCATTTGCAGCATATGTTGGAGGCATCTACTGCATTTCTCTTGGATCTTTTATAAATACTATTTTCTGGTGCGTTGCACATGTAACACATATCAAGGAGTATAATTTTTTTTAAACGATGTAAATATAATATTAAAACATGTGTGTGACGTGTAACATGAAATTTGAACACAAAAAATAATTATATATCATCTATAACTATATTTTAACAATTATATTTAGTTACATTGGTACGATGAATGAGATTAATCATGATATTACTGGATACAATCATGTGATATTATCATAGCTTAACTCATACTTCCTTTTAGATGATGTTCTTAGTGTATGTTTAATTCTGACGTTTCGATTAATCTGTTATCACCAGAAGTCTTGGCATCTATGTAATTTCTAATTCACCCTGTGTACCTGTATTTAACATATTATCCCGTGTGATTTATTGAAAAGTTTTTGTCAATAAGACATAAATTTATAAGTGCCTACAACATTAACAAAAATAGAATCAAATAAAATTCAATATTATTCCTTCAAGAATCATATTAAAGATTGACTAATGTTCCAGATTTAAAGATGTTTTCTAAAGCATAAGAATCATTGATTGGACAACATCAATTATTTCTACAAAGAATAATGTTGAGTAAAATAATGTCCCAAAAGATAAGCACCAATAAGAGGTATGTATAAAAAATATGAATCGCCAAGGAAAACTCATTATAAGTCTTATGCGCATTAATCGTACAATTATGATAAACTTTTCATGTAACTCCTACACATTTGAATACCATCTTCACATAAATTTATAAATAAATAATCATATATTTGGTGCTCTGTGTTTTTTTAGAATATGTAAAGATGACATAAAATATACGATAAATGAAATAGTAGTAGCCACTTCTCAAATCTTCAATTTTTTAATTTTTGTTATTCCGGTTTGTTGGTGGTGACTGGAGTAACGAAGAAAAGAAAAGAGAGTTTTTTTTATTTATAATGAAATCTAATGTGCCAAGCGAATGTGGTTCACTGCCCAACGGAAATTTGGTTGTGGTACTTTGGGTGAATTTATTTGACTTTAAAATAGTTCGGGGGAGGAGGGTAATAGAACCCCCGCAAAGGTAGAGTGTGTAATTGAGAATCCGGCTATAGGTCAGGGGGGTACTTATGCATTTTCCCATGATTTTACTTGTAGAAGAGTTTAGAAAAGAACTGAATTGGATTTTTTTCCACTTTTTTATTTCAAAGGCTCAATTATTTGTTCTCAACCTTATAGAAATTAATTTTTTTTTATGGATTCAAATTCCTTATATTAGCTTAGCCCAAATTTTAAATATTTAATTCTATTTATAATTTTATTCAATAAATTTTATTTTCAAAGAGTAAACCACCATTCTCTCTGTTTCCCTTGTATATCTTTATATATTTCTTGGTTATTTGTGCTAATTGTTTAGCGTAGTTTTCAAACATTATACAAAAAGGTTAATGAAGAAAAAGTATTATTCAGTAGGCAGAGTTCAAACATAATATGAAGAAGTTTCATAGTTAATATATCTAGTTCAAAAGTAAAATGGAAGGAGTTACAGCTATGTTACCTTGCTCAAATAAGAAAATAGTTTATAGAAGGTAAAATCTTAATTGATTAAGATCCAAAATGTTGAAGAAATTCATCAAGTACTTTTTGTTGGTCTTTATATCAACACAACAACAACAATATACACACTGAGGTCTGAGTAGGTCAGAATGTACGCAGACCTTACCCCTATATTGTGCAGGTAGAGAAATTGTTTCTATCCTGGACTCTTTAAAACATTTGTATGACATTAATATTGTACCTTGAGGATTTATTGGATAGCCATCCAAGTCAATATTAGTTTTAAAACATATGAATTGTATGACATACCGATAAGTTGTTTGCTTCCCCTTTGTCTCTTTCTCCTTCATTTTCTTTTCCTCTTTCCATGATTGTAATTTTCACTGGTCAATGCCAAAGTAACTTTTCTTTCCCTTCCTTTCAAGTTCACAGGACCTGATGTATAAAAGGTACATAAGACTTTAACAGGAGAAATAAGAGGGGAAAAAAACTGAAGAAAAAAGCATAAAAAGTCATAGCAGGAAACAATTTTGCAGATATAGCCACATATATAAAAAGTTATTGATCAAGGTCAAACATCAAATGTTCTTTACAGGAAAGTTATCCAACAAAGTTAATTTACAAAAGAAAAAAGGAGTTCATAAGATAAAGAAGAAAATACAAGACCCGAATATTCAAGAAAACAAAACCTATCACCACATAATTCTTCCCGAGTCCTGCTCTTTTACCATTACTTTCTCAAACATAGCCAGATTTGATGCTTCTACTTTTCAGGGACGGATGTAGATCATAACTTATGGGTTCATTCAGATCCAATAGCTTTTGTTCAGATTTTGTATATGCTATAAAACATCCACTAAATAAATACAAAATGATATATTTCAACAACAACAACAACGACCCAGTGAAATCCCACTAGTGAGGTCTGGGGAGGGTAGTGTGTACGCAAACTAACCCCTACCCCGAGGGAGTAGAGAGGCTGTTTCCGAAAGACCCTCGGTTCAAGAAGACGAAAAGAGACAATATTAGTATCACCAATAGAAACCATATGTAAAATAACATCATGGAAATGAGAAAGTAGATGCAAAGCAAACGCGATAGACAGTACATAGACTCGACACTATGGTAAACAAAGGAGTAGTAAGACACAACATTGCCACTAGCTGACATCGACAAAACCCTACCAGACTAGCCTCACAAAGGTACGAAGTAAGGGAGACTCAACTACCTCCTAACCTACAACCCTAATACTCGACCTCCACAACTTCCTATCAAGAGCCATGTCCTCGGAAATCTGTAGACTCGCCATGTCCTTCCTGATCACCTATCCCCAATACTTCTTAGGCCGTCCTCTGCCTCTTCTCGTGCCCTCTAAAGCCAGCCTCTCCTTATTTCTGCTACTTTCATCTTCTGGATATGTGAGTTCTTAACAGGCCAACACTCAACCCCATACATCATGGCCGGTCTAACCACCGCTTTGTAAAACTTACCTTTGAGTATCGGTGGCACTCTCTTATCACACAAGACTCCAGATGCTAACCTCCATTTCATCCACCCTACTCCAATACGGTATGTGACATCCTCGTCAATCTCTCCTCCCCTCTGGATAACCGACCCAAGGTACTTGAAATTTTTACTACTTGGTATGACCTGTGATTCAAAGCCTCACTTCCACACCCACCCCCCTAGGCTCAGTGCTGAACTTACACTCCAGGTATTCCGTCTTCGTCCTGCTCAGCTTGAAACCCTTAGACTCAAGGGCCTGTCTCCAGACCTCCAACCTCTCATTAATACTGGTTCGCGACTCATCAATCAGAACTATATCATCGGCGAATAACACACCATGGCACCTCCCTTTGAATATGGTGTGTTAACGCGTCCATCACCGGGGCAAATAAGAAAGGGACTGAGCGCAGAACCTTGGTGTAACCCCATAACAACTGGAAACTGCTCAGAGTCGCCTCCTACCGTCCTAACCCGAGTCTTAGTCCCATCATACATGTCTTTAATTGCCCAAATATAGGCAGCTGGCACGCCTTTTGCCTCTAAGCATCTACAGAGAACTTCTCTAGGAACCTTGTCGTACGCTTTCTCGAGATCAATAAACACCATATATTTCGAACCCAGTAAATTAAATGGAATATGGTAGAATCCATAACTCCATCCCATAATGTTCAAATTCTAAATCCACCTCTGACGAAGGTAATAAGGGACCTAAATCTGTTGTGTAGATTTATGCAGTCTTAAGATTCTTAACTGGCTGGTAACAGAGAAAACTAGCAATAACAAAATAAGAGACCTTCAGCATAATCTTACCTTTTGGCCGCTTAAAGTTCAGCAAACCAAGATTAAGCTGTTATTAGAACCTCTTGTTTGAGAAATAATGTTGAACAGTGGCTAACAAAGTAAACTATGGGATTCAGAAAGATTTGCGAGAGAAGTTGAAGTAATTGGCTAAAGAAGTACTTGAAAGGCCAGCGACAGAAAGAAGAATCAAATAGCTAGAGATTGACAATTCCAACATTATTAAAATACAAGTCATTGACTTCTGAACTTTTTTTTTTAATACCATTATCATCCTAGTCTTCTTAATCAATTGTGAAAATTATCTGCACGTCTCTTGGATCTTGACATCTGATCTGTAACCTAATATATATTAATGAGGTCAGCACAAGGCTGTTTTTAAATCAACCAGAATCAAGATAAATGGTTTCGGAGGTGTTGAAACAAATGAAAAATAAATTGCAAATTCTGTCGCTTTGTGTGAATGCCTTAAATGCTCATGAGTGGTACGACCAAAAAGAATTCTGTAAATATTTATAAGATGCAAATAGGAAAAAACGAATGCAATTACACATGCTATAGAAAATTAGATCCTTCACAAGTACTTATCTCTCGGACTCATTAAAGAGGGTGATGAATAAATAGAACTCATGAAGTCAGAAGTATATTCAAAGAAGCAATTCAAGAAAATTGTCAGATGCTTATTCCAAGAAGGAAGCAAAGTCAATGAAGTGAGTTCTGAAAGCATATATATGAAATAATTTTTTTTTTTTTTNAAAGGCCACCAACAGACAGAATCAAATAACTAGAGCCTAGAAACTGACAATTCCAAGATAAAAATACAATTCATTGACTTCTGAAGTAAATTTTTTAATCAATTGATAAAAGTATCTCTTGTCCAGACAGATGACCTGTAATCTAATATGCTCTTGACTCTACTCGTCTTTGGAACTACACCAATAATCTAGTTATTTAGTAAGCCAATTAGAAGCAGAATTGGATGATATCTAGCCAATTTTTATACAAGTAAAATGGTGAAAATGAGAAGAAAAAAAAAAACAAAAACACAACGACAAATGCTTGCCATTTTAATTTGTATTACCAAATTACCTTAAGTTAATGTGATAAAACAGGATCATTTATCAACTCATTTCTACTTTTATTTTCACAAATCGTTCAGTTGAGACTTTTATCAAACAGATTGTAGACATTATTTAATTAACATTAAAAATTGCCGCTGCAAGAATCACAACAGCATGCCAACGTGTAAGAACGAAGAAAAACCTGTTTTCGTGCTGTCATTTAATTCTGTTTTTGTTGAATCTTCCACAGTTCCTCTCCTCAACAGATGATTTCCATGGTAAGAAAATTGTTTTCCACCCACAACGAAATTCCCAGCTATATTTTCGAGCTACTGTTCTTCTCTTGCCAATTTCGTAGAGAGAGAAAACTAACTTTTAGTCAAACTACAGTTAAGGGGTTGTTTATTAATTTAAATAAGTCTTGACCTTTAGATCTAAAAAGTGGACAGGTGTAAGATATCCAAGCATGTACTGAACCAACTGGAGGAAAAATGTAATAGAGGAGGTGGAGTGTATTAAGTAAGAAATTTCAATTTTTTGAAAGTGATCTATGTGGAAAAGTTTCTATTTCTCCAGATAATAAAGTAGTGCATTAATTAAGGAAATTTAATTTTTGAAATATTTGGAAATATGGCTTAAGAAGTAGTAGGACTAAAGAATGATTCCCTTGTGTCTTTCCCATCCAACATTTCTATTTCATTTTCAAATTACAAACTGACTTTGACTCCTTGGAAAACTAATTCATGTAGTAGGAAATCAAAATTATTTAGGATTTAGTATTTGTACGTTTATTTCAATTCAAGTTTAAATAGGATTTGTAGTCAAATTCATATAGAAATAGATTTTTCAATTTTTAGTTAAAGCAGGTTCATATTGCTAGCTATTTTTAATGTGTGAAGACTAGTGGAAACTTATGAAAAAGTAGAGAATTGTAGATCATTCAAACATTTAATAACTTATTTTACTTCAACATCTTGTGATAGTTTGCTTGTGAATGTAGATGATGTTTTCTTAAGATTTTATTGATAGTGTTAAAGGGCGGAGCCAGAGTGTTGGTTGCGGGTTCCACCGAACACAGTAGCTTTTGTTTAAACCCTGTATTTGTATTAAAAAATTCAATAAATATGTACAAATTATTAATTTAGAACCTAGTAACTTAAAAAGATTTTAATCCCAAACCCATAAGATTCAAATCCTAGCTCCGCCTCTGATAGTGTTGAGTTGCTTCTATTTTTGGATAAAACTCGGTCGAAGTATATATTATGAGACATTTCGGACTATATATGAATAAAAATTCACTAAAACTTTCCTAGTACTCCCTCATTTTCAATTTATGTGAACCTATTTAAGTGGATACGAAGCTTAGGAAAAAAATGAACACTTTTAAAACTTGTTGTGCTAAACAAATCATAACATTTGTGTGGTTATAATTCTCTTGAAACCTGTGTTATTTGTGACTATAAAATATTCACCTTTGAGCGAAAATAGATTCTTCATCCCATCCGAACCTTCCTGTATTAGATTCTATGTATGTAATTGCTCTAGGTGATGCATATATATAGTTCCTCATAATATATTACTACTATATTATTTGAGGAAAGTTATTGCATTTTCAATGAATTGAACTTCTAATTGTGTGTTGTTACACAGCTAAAGGAGCAGCCTCTGTGCAGCTAAATTATCTATACATGTAGAGCTAGCTGCAACAGCATCTACAGCTGCATCTAATTGCAATAGCATTTCCAGAGGCAACACTTCCAAACCAACACAAATAACAACATAATATACACCAGATATACAGCATTTCTCAGAACAATAGCTAAGCATATCTTATAGGCTTCCACTGCTTTGTACATTGCCGATACTTTTTTTTTGCCTGCCTTGACTTCTTTTTCCTTGAGCTTGAAATCGCTATCCGTGTAAGTATGTGCTCGTCAATTAGAGATGAAACCACCAAAATTATTTTTTCGAGTTTGTCTATCAAAGCATCACCTTCAATCAAAGTGTATTTTTACAAATTTCTCTTCTTTGAACTCATCGATCCAATACTTATAAATGGACTTAAAGTTGCCACCTGCAGAAAAGAAACCACGATTAAAAATTACTAAAGATTAAAAAGGGAGTCTAATCAAAACCTCCATTACCCTGGAAAAATGCAATACTTTTTAATAGCTTGTGGCATCAACTTTGGCATAAAATTGTGAGAATCAACGATGAAGGCCTTGAATGATTCTTGATGGAGGAACCGGAGAAGTAGTATGCTCATTAGTGAAGGAGGTAATAGCCATATTCAGTCTGTTGAATATATTCAAAGCACAATGTATCAGTGAAGGAGGTGACAGTTATCTACATTTGGATTAATTATTTTCAGCTTCCCTTATATTATCACAACTACTCAGTAGCAGTAGTACTCAAACTAAACTTCTTTTTCTTAGTGGAATTTTTTCTTGAGTGCAACACTGCATTTTTCTCATTTTTTTGAGCAACTTCACAGTAATTAGTTACAAATAAAGAGTTTGAACTCATCCTGTTGTGCTGTTGAACAATGTTACTATTATATTTTTGGGTGGGAGGGGGCATATTCAACTGTATATGTGCTATTTGCAGACTTTTGTATAGTTATGTAGTGGTTTTTACTGTCTTAGTGACTTGTTCGATAGAATGGTGCTGTCATGTACTTTTTAGGTGATGAAGTAATTAATTATGTCATGTATGGTTAAACATTAGTTGTAATTCTCTCTTAAAACTAATGTGTACCAAGTCATTAATTTCTGTCCTGTCTTTTAAACTGATGCAAATGGAATTCCATTTGTTGAACTTTTAAAATGACAAGAGTGGGTTGCTCTAGTGGTGAGCACCCTCTACTTCCAACCAAGAGGTTGTGAGTTCGAGTCACCCCAAGAGCAAGGTGGGGAGTTCTTGGAGGGAGGGAGCCGAGGGTCTATCGGAAACAGCTTCTCTACCCCAGGGTAGGGGTACGGTGTTGTTGTTGTTATAGTATCTGCTACTTATATGCTCTTGTCAAGGTGTTTGGTTATATGATTCTTTGAGTTCATTGACAATATTCATCAAGGTTTGGTTATTACTATCATCTTCCTTTATTTAGGCTTGGACTTGATGTGCTTTGCATAGTTCATTCTTTCACACGTCGCTGAAATAAATTGCATTAGATTTCTTTGACCTTAAAATATTTGGTTGATTTTCCATGCTATATAGTAGGTAAAAGTTACAGTATTTGGGAGTTAATTGGTGAAAGAGATTAGGAGAATGGCATTGTATTGCATTCATAACTTTTTCATCACTGTACTCACCTATATTCAAGCATGTTACTTGCAGGTTATACAATCACTTGAACTCATTAGCACACATCAAAGGCGTAGTGTTGTGGCGGTATTTTGCAATCTTGGATTATCTTTGAACAGGAAAAAGAAAGGAACAGGAAATATGAAAAAAGATGCCACAGCGAAAAAGAAAGAAAACATGGCTTCAACCCAAGTTGAATGCCCAAGTAGCCTACATTAGAAGATATTTCTGGGCAGTTTACAAGCAGTCTGCAACTTTTCACATCATGAGTTAGCTTTTGCAGCCATAAGTTGGCGAGTCTGTGACAGAGTGCTATCGAAGCTTAGAATCACTAAAACTAGTGCTGCAGTTGAGCCGGGCTGTTGAACAACAATCAAGGCATTGTCGATTTGGGAGGGATGAAAGTGTGAGCTTCTTGTTTGTTGTTTCACAGAAGGAGCAAGAGTAGCAGCAACTACAGAACACTAAGCATAAGGATCAGTGTTTGAAGGAGATAGGCTTCCACTGCTTTGCACATTTACTGTTGCACATGAGATACAGCAGCACCTATTGAAACATCTTGATCAAAGATACAGCAGCCTCAACTCCAAATGCGTCGATGGGCTGATTCTTGCAGCCTGCATCACAACTAATCAATATCTAAGTGAATATTATCCCATCATTGCGCAGAGTTATGAATCCCACGTATGTTTCTGGACTTGAGGAGTAACATATGATATGCAAACAACTCAAGCCATGCCGAAGAAGAAAAGAGATTATACAAGAACAACAATTTGAAAGAACAAATGCTGGGAAAATGCATCAGAATTTAGATGTCTGAGGATCTATTCCTTACATGCGTTCTGCAAAAGAAAATTATATTGATCAAACTCTGCCACATATATTGAAAATGAGGAGGTAATAAATTCGTCTATACTCACATATTTTCCCAAGGTAAAAGTGCTCAAGACTTGATCAGTTATAAACAAGGACCAGAATATCCCTATTCATATCCTCAACATCTTGCTTAATCTTCAGAGCAGATTCTTCAAGTTGAGGGCTCCTTCGTAGTTCGATACTTTTTAATGAACAAATATCCCCGAAGCTAGGCGGAATCTCCTCAAGCTTACGACAGTCCCACAGTCGTAATTTCTCAAGCGCAGGAAAGGATTCCTCTCTAACCTCCCACTTAGCAAAGGTCACTCGCCGCAATGTCAGACATTTGAGATTCTGGAAGGTGTCTTCCTCCCCCATGTTCCATCATTCCCCCTGGATGATTGCGCCTTCAAGGTACAGATCTTCAAGCTTGGGCAGTATTCCTATTGTTGATAGTGAATC